ATACATATTTTAGTCTCTGTTTGGCAGTAATAGTGATATTCTAAAACATCCCTTGTATTTGGGAAGGATCAAATTCCTTATCAGATTATGCAAATCTGGCATTATTTATTTTGGGATGCACTGGCAATCTTGGAAGATGTAGCCATTCTTTATAACAGTGCTAAAAATACAGTTTCTGTCTCTTTTAAAAAAAAAGTATTCCTTGTCATCCTTGTCACTTCCAAATCCCTGTATTCCTTCACCTAGCTTTTTTAATTTGCCCTTCTTTCTCTCTCTTGTCTTCCAGCTGCTGTGATAAAGCACAATCCTGGGGGCACAGGCATTTGGCTACATTCTGACTGACACAAAGTCTGGGCTAATTTCTAAAAAAAAAAAAAAAAAAGGATAAATGCTGATCTTTCCTATAAAACAGATTGGAACTTGGTGGGATTCTGAATAAGAATCTGGGACTGGATGAGAGTTCTTATTTATAAAATATATATTTTTTAATGTATATTTATTTTTGAGAAAGAGAGAGAGACAGAGGGTGAGCAGGGGAGGGGCAGAGGGAGAAGGAGACACAGAATCCCAAGCAGGCTCCAGGCTCCGAGCTGTCAGCACAGAGCCTGATGCGGGGCTCAAACTTGCGGACCGTGAGATCATGACCTGAGCCGAAGTCGGACGCTTAACCGACTGAGCCACCCCGGTGCCCCAAGATCTCTTCTTTTCCTTTGTGTTTCCTTTCCATCCCCAGCAGGTGAGCCCACAGTACTGTCCTCTTTCTCCTCTGGCTCTGATCTCTTCCGAGCGGAGCTGCGTGACTGCGCAGGTGCGTGCAGAATCATTCTCTTTCTCAGAAACACCCCCGTGTTGCACAAGAGTCCCTCCCCCTTTCACTCTTGCAAGAATGTTTAGTGTGCATGCGATTTCCCAGGGCCCCCGCTGGGCACTGAGACACAAATATGACAGATAAGTGCTGTCCTCAGGGAGCCTGCAATCCAGCGGGAGCAGGTAAGCGCATAACTGAGAGTCCTCACAAACGGCACAGGAAGCTGGCATAGGGCTGCCCACGGCAGAGGAAATCAGGGTGGGAGCCCCGAGGGGGCGGCATCTGACGGAGGTCTCAGAGGCTGTGGAATTCCTAGACACAGCAGAGCGTTTATGTTCCCTGACACGCCATCACAGGGTGTCTCTGGGCCCCATTGTTTTAGATGCAGATTCTTAACCCCTCCTTCGGAAGCCCGGGCCCGGGGGGGCCTACTGTGGGCAGTTGCAGAGTAGGCTTGAAGGAGCACAGGAGTCTGAGAGCCCTGGGTTCGAAGTTTAGTACTGCCCTCTCCTTGTGGGGTGGCTTGCAACAATTCCCCCGAACTCACAGAGCCTCAGTCTCCTGCCCCGTGAAATGGGCCTCCTAAGCGCTACTGGAGAGTGGGAGGCGCGAATAGGAGCACAGAGCACTGTGCCTGGCACTTGGAGAGGGAGGCGGGGAAGCGTGCAACTTCCCGGGCTGCTTCTCCGAGCTGCGAGTCTGCGAACGCCGCCGAAGGGGTGGGTGGCAGCACGTAATCCCGCCCTCTGTGAACCGGTGACCTCCCTGGCCACGGAAGCAGACAGGTCATTTAAAAAATGTAATTTTCGCATTGACATTCTTCGTGCTGAGCCCGGGGGCAGGCATGTCCATTCTGCACGGGGAGAGCTCCGGGGCAGTAACCCAGAAAGAAGAGGCAGCCCTCACTTTGCCATTCTGCGCCCGGGCCTCTGACAAAAGAATTGTGCAAATGAACCTTTAAATCCGTAAATAGTGCCCCCACGATGCCGGGAAGAATGCAGCCGCGACAAAGGGCAATATTCACAGTTTATCTCAGGGTGATGGATCTGAATGGACGCATGAACACGGGTTTGTTAGAGAAAGAGCAGGCCACAGCCCCCCGCCGGGAGCCCAGTGGCCGCAGTCTGCAGTGCAAACAGTCAGTCCAAATCCCGAACAATTAGGGGAAACCAAGCTGCCATTATCTGAACTTCAACTTGTTCTCATGATTGATATGGGAAATGAAAAGTTGTACGCGGCTCGGGGAAGGCTGTGTTCGCCCTCACGGCGCGCGGGGCTCCGAGAAGGTGCACGATGTGTGTCTCGTACCCACGGCGCGAGCGGCCGACGCGCCCCCCGGGTCGGCGCGGGGATGGGGCGGCCCCGCCCCGCAGAGCACCCGCGCGTCGTTCCCATCTCTGGCCCGTCACATACCCTTCTTCGGCCTCGGTTCTCTGGAACCTCCCCCCACCCCCATAACCTCAGCACATGACAAAATTCTTAAAAAATCGTTTTTGGGCCCGGGCGGGACATTTCTCTGGAGAGGGAGGATGCATTAGATGTCAGCGGCACGACCGCGGTCCAGTCGGCAAGTCTGTCTGCGCCTCAGTGTTGTGAGCTGTAGAATGGGGATCAGACCCACCTCACAGAAAAGTATGTGACTTGACCAGTTTGGCCGCTGGCACCGGGAAGTTCTCCATAAATGTGACGGGTCCGTATTCATTCCTTCAACAGCCTGAGCGTTTGCTGAGGACCAGTCACTCTGCTTGGCGGGGAGGGCGGCCCAAGAATGACTAAGACTACTCTGGCCTTTGCGGGGGATGCTCTGGGGCTTACGAGCAAGCTCTGTACCTAACAGACGGTTCAAGCGTTTCAAGGCCGGGGGGCTGTGCCTCTTTTCCTCTGAGTCTCCGGTTTCGGGGGGCTCCACGGGGTTTGCGGAGCCGAGGTGAGCCCAGTGTTGCAGGGGAGGGGCACGGCACAGGGAGGATGAAGCATTTGCCCTGGGCCTCGGAGGGTGGAGGGATTTGAGAAGCTCGTGTGCAGAGGACAGCATCCCGAGCCGCAGTAAAGCCGCAGCAGGGGCTGGGAATTAGGGCTGCACAGGGCCTGGTGGCTGGAGGGTGGGGTTCCTGGGAGGTGAAGGTAGGAGAGGAGGTTGAAGACAGAGGCAGATCATCCAGGGTCCGAAGGCGAAGAGGAGGTTTGCCTTTTAACCTGTAGGCAATAGGGAGGGATAAAATGTTCTGGAGCAAGGGAGTGCCGCCTGACTCAAGCTCTGGGGAAATGTGTTCTGAGGCTAGGCCCGCGATGGGGCAGGATGGCCCGCAGAACGCAGGGTCAACAGGGCTCGGTAGTGCAGTGGATGCAGGGAGAGGGGGGTCAAAGGTGACAAAGGTTGTGAGCTTTTGGCTCCTTCTCTTCCAATCCTTTAATTAATGAAACTCTTCTGATTCCCTTCCATCAGAGAGGAAGGGCAGGATTCCACACCAGTTGCCAGGAACTTATATAATCAATCAATCAATTAATTGCACCCACACACACTTTCCGGGTGGGCAGGAGAAACGTACTGTCTTTAATCCGTTTTTGAAATATGCCCGGGTGAGGGTACTCTTTGCACCTCGGTTTCACGGATGGGGAGACTGAGGCCCAGAGGATTCAGTGAATGCTTTGCTCAAGTCTGGGCTGGGATTTGAACCAGGGTCTTTCTGCTGAGAAAGCCATCCACTTCCCTTTATGCTAAGCTGCCTCTGGTGAGGCTGGCCCCTGAGGCATGCATGCAATTGCACACACACACACACACACACACACACAAACCCTGCGCTCGGGCCACCAGGACAGCGGCTGAAACAGAGACTTCCAAGAACCCTCTTCAAAGCGGCCAGAGGCATTCAGCAAGGCCTGGCATTCAGGCTGGAAGGATTTCTCCATTGTCTCCACCATCAGAGGTAAGTGACATCTTGAACGCCTCAAGAAGATTAAATAGCCCGGCTCCGTCGGAAAGCTTACAAAAAAAAGGGTGAGAGAGAGAGAAGAAAGGACGCAAGTTGGCTATTATAGAGCTGGTCCTTTTTTGTCGCAGAAAGAGCTTTCAAGGAGCACTATTGGAAGAAGCGGGCCCAGAGAAGAAGACAATGCCAGAGAGCCAGAGAGAACTCCTACAGGAACCCGGGGCTGGGCACCGTGAATGCGGATTACTGCGGCTCCGAGCCGCCAAAGAAAAGGGGAACCCTGGTCAGGATGAAAATGAGGAATTACTTTTTTTCCCTTCCCCTCTGAGCCTCCAGTTCACTGCGCAGCGACAATGCGTGATGGGGGGCACTTGACATGCCCCTCTTCCAGGCCATGTTGGCGCCCCATGTGGGGCCCCCGGGGAACAAGGGCGGCGCAAACCCAAACAAAGCCGATTTTAACCCGATAAACTCACCCCACATTCTCCAATAGAAACGACGGGCGTTTGGGCTGCTGAATGTCTGCGCGCGGTCCAAACACATGGGACAAATAAGGAGCTTGGATTTGCGGATGTTTGAACATATGTAAACTCCTTCATCTTTTTAAGAGAACTGTTTCCTTTTTTTTTCTTTTCCTTTTTCTCTTTTCTTTCTTTCCTTCTTTCTTTCTTTTTTTTAGTTTTCAATGGAAGAAAACTGGGGATGCTGATGGCCCTTTTTGCAAAGCCTCAAAAGAGCCTGTTTCTAGTAGGTGATGAAGCTATAGACTGTGAGGGAGAAAGGGATCTAATTTGCTCAGATCCTGGGAACATGATTTGCTTTTGAAACACACTCTATCCTCACCCACCTCTAAATGGCCACCCTGTACATTTAAAATGTGCTCTGAAAGATGCGGTGCAGAAAGGCTGTAGAAAACGGCCCGAGCCGGAGATCCGACTTCGGGTTTGTTGTCGTCTTAACTGATGTTTTGTTAAGAATCACTCAGCTTCTTGGAGCTTCGGCTCCTGCCCACATTGCTCTGAGCACTGGGCTGCTTGGATGAGGCAGCCTGGAGCCCACACGGTACAACCCCCTGCATCCCCCAGGGCGCAGGACACACGGGGGGCTGCTGTGGCCGAGACGTGTGGGTGATCAGTGCCCCCTCCTGCCTCCTTCTCCAGGGAAAACCAAGTGAGGGGACCGTTGCAAAATTGCTTCCGAAACTCTTAGTGTGTTTTACAAATCTGAGCTATTCTCTTTACCATTTGTCTTCTCTTTGGCAGAAATCAGTTATCCAGACCTATCTGTTAGGTCACCATCAGTTACTGAGCCCAAGTCCTCGCGTGAAACTCAGCCCAGCAAGAACTCAAAATCATTTTCATTCACATAAAGTCACTAACGGTGTTAAAACTCTCATACTACCTTCAAAAGAAACACGTGGCCGGTGTTGATAGCGGAAATGTAACAGAAAGCTGAATAATGAGTTTGGTAAGTCTTCCTCCCTCCTGCGGTTCTAGTCCCGTATCAGGTGGTTCTAGTCTGGTATCTGTCATGAGGTGCCCCGTGTGTCCTGGAATGACATTTGCCTTTTACATGTAGTCCTGACTTGTGTTTTCAAATTCGGGTTTTGCCTTCTGTGTGTATGTGTGTGCGTGCGTGTGTGTTAATGATTAGACCTGGCATGTCTATCAGAACTGAAGGTCACAGTGGAAATGGGATTTGGCGTCTGAGATGGAGAAAAATGCTGTTATGACTTAAGAATTCCTCCTTTCTGGAATGTGAATGCACATGCATGAAACGTAGCGCCTCCCTCTGAGAGTCTCCTCGCTGAGACGGTCTGACCTTCACAAATGGAAGAAAGGCCGCTTTTCTCGAAGCTGCTGCTTTATTTGGCCCCAGATGTGCCCTCACATGAACCCAAAATATCTACCGTAAACAGGAAGCTGTGCGACTCGGGGGGGGGAGGGCGGTGAGTTTGGGCACAAGGCAGACCTGGGGCTGACCCCTCCCCCCACCACACGCCTCCCTGGCCACGGACCATCTTTGAGCTGTGGTGAGGACAGAGCGGCCTGGTGTCCCTGACAGCTCTGTGAGGAATTTGCGGAGCAGGAAGGGCTGAGAGCAGTGGTCAAGCGTGTGGTGGGCGGTCGAGTGGTCTGGCAACGCCACTTACTACGTACAGAGTGTCCTGTGCCTCTGCCGATTCATCTGGAAAATGGGGCTACTATTGGAAGCTTCTTCGCGGACTGTTTCCCACACCATGCCCGCCATGTGGTGAGGCCTCAAATGAATGTTAGCTACTTTTAAAGCTTCTTGGCCAAGGAGCCTGGAAGCAAGAGGGAGAAAGGGTGATATCCAGGAGGCAGATCGGCTGGAAAAGTCTGACCACAGTGGTTCCAACCACATCTCTTACTCTGGGAAACCAGAGGCTGTCGATGAGGAGGGCGAGGGGCCGCGGAGTCTCCGACCCTCTTCCTCTGCTCACCTCCCCCCTGCCCCACGTCCATCCTCTGGGATTACAGGTAGAAGCTCTCAGGGCACGAAGATTTTGTGCCTGTTCCTGACAGAGATACAGTGGGACTGAGCTGTTGGAGGGTGGGGAGGGGACAAGATCATGACCGTTAAAATTTGAACACGTTGTTCCAGCCTGTTAGTCGTGGAAATGTCTATTATTTTTATTATTTAGCATGCCGTAGAACAATTGTTAGCTTTCCCTCCGTGTGGGACTACACGCTGCCTCTCCCCAAATCCCCGCGGCCCAGGCCAGCCAGGGCTCCCTGCTCTCCCTCAAGCTGCCCCTTTGGCGGCCATTTGCCAGGGCTCCGCTTGACTTCATGTGTCTTTTTTCCAAAAGCTGTTTCGATTAACCCACATTTACAATAGGAAATAATATTAGTCTCGTAACCAGAGGGTATGGAGCCCTCGTTATGTAGAAACAAACCTTGAGCTTCAAATATTTCTGCTGGTGAAACGTCTCACGTAAAACTTTTATTGCAGTGGATGTTATGGGGGAGACATTTTAAATAGTAAAAACCAATATGCTGTGTTCCTGGATTATTTTAGTTAACAACAACGAAACTAGTCTAAATGCACTACCTACAAATTGAATAAAACAGAAGCAGTCGACTTATAAGATTCGTATTACATAGCCTACAATTGCAACGCATTAAACTAACAAGTGTCGCCTACCGTGTTTCTACAGAGCTGTGTCACGTATGATCCCTGGATAAAATAATACTAAAAGACAAAATAAAAATTTTTTTGGTGAGAGAGAGAGGGAAAAAAAAAACCATCTTGCTGTTATTCTGGGATCTGCCAGTAAGCTCAGCGGGAGGCAGACCAACGAGGAAAGTGACCCCCTTCGGTTTCCAGGTTATGCGACCCAAGAGCTCGTCCAGTGGTGGTCTTGGGGAGTTTCTTATTGCCAGGGAGGCTAGCGTTGAGCAAAGCAAAGACCCTTGGTGGAGAGGACTCTTGGGGAACGTCTGGGCTTTCAAGTTTTTTATTTATTTGAAATGTTTATTTATTTTTGAGAGAGAGAGAGAGAGAGAACGCAAGGGGGGAGGGTCAGAGTGGGGGTGGGGACAGAGGATCCCAAGTGGGCTCTTTTTGGACCCTAGGAAGCCTGATGTGGGGCTCAAACTGCAAGATGATGACCTGAGCCAAAGTCAGACACTTAACCCACTGAGCCACCCACACGCGCCTGTCTGGGCTTTCAAAATAGAGGGAAGCACAGGATGATCTCATCTCAGGAACTTCCCGTGGGGACACCTTTCCACCGCCTGACCTCTGGCAGCAGGAAAACTGAAGGACCAGGGCCTAAGCCAGCTGCTCCCCTGGCATTTGGGGGGGGGGGGGATTGAGTCAAAGGAAGAGACTGAGCTTCTGACTGCAGAGAAGAGCTGAGACTATCTTCTGCTTGTGGACAGCCTGCTGACCCAGGGTGGCGTTGGCCAGACTGGAGGGCCACGAAAAGTGCCCCACCGTCACCACCTGATGCTTTGCCTTCGTCAGGGATCCGGTTGTTCAGAGGGTCCCCGGTCGACCTCTCAAGCCTCTGTCAAATTCCCCATTTGGAACAGCAAGGACAGAAAGATACTTTTTCAGAACCTTTACATTTGGCTCAATCAATTTTTGCGTGGTGTGTCCATTTCTTTATGTTGTTGAGGGTTTTTTTTTTCGTTTTGCTTTGTTTTGTTTCTGAGCTGGCAGAGTTCTCAGCTTACTACTGTGAGCTCTACTTTTTTTTTTTTTTTAAGTTTACTTATTTATTCTGAGAGAGAGAACCAGCAAGGGAGAAGCAGAGAGAGAGGGCACAGAGGATCCAAAGCGGGCTCCTTGCAGACAGCAGAGGGCCCGAGGCAGGGCTCGAACTTACGAACCGTGAGATCATTACCTGGACCAAAGTCAGATGCTTAACCAGCTGAGTCACCCCGCTGCGGGGCCCCCCCCGCCCCCCCCATAAACTATTTTTTTTTGTTGGGAAATAAGGCGGCTTTGATATCATGCAGTGATCCTTCTGAATTTGTCCAAGATAATTTTGGCCTGAATTTTACAGGTGAGAACCCCTGCATGTGCATTGCTGATGTTTTCATCTGCACCGGAGAGTCTTCTGTCTATTTTGGGGGTAAATTCTCTGTCAATTGGATATGGGCTAAACATTTCTTTTTGCTCATGTAGTCCAGGAGGGATTCGATATTTCTGCTGGAGTCTGGCACGCCCCCTTTCCAAAGGGTTTGTTTTCTGGCCGTCGTGAGGCTTTTGGTTTGGAGGGTTTCCGCGTGACCTCTCAGTGCATCGATTACTTGAGCTTCTTCAGTTAACGACACGTTCATTCCGTTTCTTTTCTGTTAGAGAGTTTGTCAATGAATATGTAACCTCTGCCACATAAATCGGTTTCTTCACAACTCCCCTGATTCATTTAGTAAGGGCTCCCCCTCTACGAGGCGTCTTCGATATGCCTAATTCCAAGTTCTCATGCTGTCTGTTGATTCATCACGGCCAGTAGCCCAGTGGCTCCTCTTTAGCAAGTGTCCACGTAGAGGCTGGACCCTGATTCAAGAGAATTCCGGAGATTGGAGTCTTTCTCCAAACCCCGTGTGAGTGTCGCCTACACTACTCTGCACACCGCTGATGGGTTTTGAAAGACGTTTTGGGTGCCATACTTGCTATTGGATTTGCTTAGTCGAGTCTTCCAAGGACTGAGACTTACTTGTAATGTCAGCCAGCAGCCCAACTTGCTGTAAGCATTTAGATTTCTCTTCTTTCATGCTATTCTATAAGGGTCTATTTTAAGACCGAGTGGAGAATGGTCACGTTCCAGCTCATTGTTTGTGGTTTTCACATTTGCTATTTCTGATAGTTTGTTCTTGAGTCTGACTTCTAGAATGGTTGATTTAAGAGCCCCAAGTTTCCATTCAATGTGTCTAAAGCTCTCAGCACATTGACGTCCTTCCTCCAGAAAGACAGAAACTCCAATGGCCAGTTCTCCGTCTCCCCTTGCATTGTAGTACAAAGTTTTAAGCATGCAAAGCTTCCACTGTGACGGGGAAAGCTGTCCTCTCCCCCACAGTCCTCGGGGGTCTGGCCCTGGGCTAAGCTCTCCTGGCAGGACAGCCATTGCCTGGCACAGGGTCTCCAGAATCAGCATCACGCAAAGCTCAAGGCCATCAGAGGACCCTTTGTGGCTCCTAAGGCCACTGCTGTATTTGCACAGCCTAGGTTGCCAGGACAGGACCCTGCTGGCCACATCAGGTGTCAAAGTCCAGCGGTGAGCATTCTTCCCAGGACCCTCTCTATGCCTGGCAACCAGGGCTGACCCCAGTGGAAGGGGAGTGGGGACATGAAAAACAATGTCTCCCAACTCTCCCACCTCTTGGCCGATAAGGGAAATGATCAGATCACTTGGACTATAGGCTAGGCTCTGTAGGCGAGAGGGAATGGCCAGAGGCTCTGGCCACCTGAGGTCTTTCCTGGCTGCCCCCCAAACTAAGGACATCAATATGTTTCCAAATCTATAACCATTCGGGGTCACTAGTTGGGAAGTTCCAAGCTGGAAGATTTGTAGACCCCCAGTAGCGACCACTGCTCCTTTTTCTCTCTCTCTTCTGAAAAATTAAGATGACATTCATATGATGTAATGTTTTCATTATTTTAAAGCTTTTTTAACTATTTTAAATATCCTAACTAATTTAGTGGAATTTAGCACACTCACAATGGTGTGCAACCACCACCTCTGTCTAGTTCCAAAATATTTTCCTGACTCGAAAAGGAAACCCCATAACCATGAATCTCCTAATTCCCCTCTCCCCGCTAATCCCCGGCAACCAGTGATTTGTGACCTTTCTCTCTGCATCCATTTTCTGCATATTTCATATAAATGAAATCATACAATATGTGACTTTTTGCGTTGGCTTCTTTCACTTAACATAATGCCTTTGAGATTCATTCATGTTATAACCCCTACTAACACTTCATTCCTTT